AAAAAAAAAAAAAAAAAAAAAAAAAAAAGACCCTGGTTGGATCTCAAAGCCTCACATTCCAGATTTGAACGTGAATGTAATTATTCCTGATGGTAGCACTTGGCTCAGCAGCTGGAGTGTCCATATTTCCATAACTGCATGTAGTGCTCTCAATTAGTCATTAAGTTGCTGGTGTGAAGTATTTTTGCAACAGAGAAAAGGTTATTCCCTGGCCTTTTGTGACTCTATGACTCCTGGAATCAAGACAGCAATAAGGGGGTAGATGACAGCAGAGATAAGCATTTTCCATATCTAAGATTAATCATTAGCTATGATTTCGCTGCGGAACTCAGGAAGTCAAGACACCCTCAGGGTGAGCACTCCCCCCCACACACACCAGCAGCCTCCTCACACATACCCTCCCCAAGCAACTATCTTTTCCCAAGTCCGTGGTTAAAACATCATAAGTCATTCTGGAGCATGGTGATGTCTTGGGCCTTTTTTTCCCCCTTTAATTAATCATAATTCTAAGTTATATTTGGCAGGGGCTGTGGTGAAGTAGAAAGATAGAAAGTAGGAGCCCATATTTTTATTTATTTACATTAGATTTTCTTGTCCTTTATATTGCTAGGATCCTGTTGATCTGGGATGGGAGCCCTATGTTAAGTCATGGCTTTTAAAAACATCTAATTTAATAAGTCAATCAGGAGTGGATTGTCTTGAATTCATGATTTAAAATAGTGTTGCCAGTGGGCTACAATTTATAAAGAAGCATGAGAAATTTCTGGCTTATCCTGTCCAGGACATAACAATCATCATAACCCTCTGCAGAATTCTTGATGCTTTCTTTGAATTCATGAGTAAAAATGGAGGATTTGGACAAAGTGAGTTTTTTCCTTGTATTGTAATGAATTATTTCTTAACTAGTCAATAGCAATTTATCACCTTCTGTTAGATTTTTTAAAAGAAAATAAAGGAGGGCCAGGGATTTTCTGACTGTTCAACTGCATATAAATAAACTCTACACCCTTTATAGAGGACCACAGCCATAAAATTATTAAAAGCATAAGTGTTGAAGGGTCACAAGAAAAAATTGTGTGAAGAACCCTTAGATGTCTCTGTTAGAGAAGAATATGCTGTGTTTTAAGGATTCCTCAAGTAAGAAGTAGTAGAAGCTGTTCAAAATTGTAGGTTTAAGCTATAATCATGTAAAGGCATTAAAGTGGAAAGCAGTAAAACACAAGGAGAAACCAACAGATTCAGAAACCAGTATAGCGTGCTGGACAGACTTGGTCTCTGGAATCCAAATAATGGTTCCTTGCCATTCCTGATAAAATGGCAAATTAGCACAGGCTCCCAGCTCTCTCCTAAACCCAGTTTTGGACTCATCAAATTAATATAGAAATTGTGAGAAATCCCTGAGGTCTTAAGCCAGACCCCAATGAAGAAAATGGCTGCCTTGAACAGAAGTGTATAAGCCACTCGTAGAGAGGAGGTGGGCGATTGGAGGTTTCTCCTCCCTACTCATCCAGGTTGTGGGTGGGCCGTGGCTCTGCCCTGTCCAGTTGGTGTACCAAAGCACAGCGAGGGACAGTGACAAAACACCATGTTGCAAAGAGCCTGACTAGAATAGGGAGTAGGCAAGAACAATATCCTCCTGCTGCCAGCCCCCTCCAGACAAGGCCTACATGATTAAAAGACAGAAAAACTCTCACAGAGGCACAGTGCCTGAGTAGAGATCAGCACACAAGTCATCTGCGGTGACGGCTGTGCGTGCTCCCAGATGTACACCAGGCAGGGGGCAGCTCTCTAGAGCTGCAGTGGGAAGTGGATGCTGGGAACAAAGCAAGAAGTAAACAGATATACTAGAGGTCAAGAGTAAAATCTAATAAAGATAAAGAACACAATAAACAGCACAGCAAGGGGTGGGACAAAACACCTTGTGAAAAACATTTTTGCATTGTGATAAAGCTGAATTAAATTGAGCTATCATTAACTGTATTGTTAGCTGTAGTCCATAGGGCTTTTGAACTTAATTCCTGCTATTTAACTGAAATTGTGTATCTTTGGCCAACATCACTCTAACATTCTCCTCACCCAACAGCCCAGCTCTGGTCACTACAATTCTACTTTCTATTTATATGAATCAACTACTCTAAGTTCAGTGTATGGGTGAAACCATATCCTTTGTCTGGCTTCTTGTGTTAAGACAGAAAACAGAGAACACTGAATTATTTACTTTAAAAGGGTCAATTTTATGATATATTAATTCTGTATCTATAAAACTTTCATAACAAAAATTTATAAAGAACAGTTAAAATAAGGAAATAAAAAGTAATGCAATGTAAACATGTACCAAAAGAAAGCTATATTACCAACTTTAATATCAGCCAGAATTTACTTTAAGGTGAAAATAATGTTAATCAATAGAAAGAGAGGTTATTACTTAGAATAATAATATATTGATTGTGTGTATAGATATATACATCATAGATTTAGAAACAGCAAGACAGAGACAGACTATATAAAGAAACAGTTGGCAGAACTGCCATTTCCTCTCCCTTGGAATGTGAATGTGGTGTTTGAGTTGCTATCTTAGAAGGCATGGGAGGCAATTTCAGAGTCTTACATTTGGACTTTCTCATTGTGACAGCTCTTATCCCACAGGCTAAGGGCCCAATATGGCTTAATTATTAAGTATGTCAGACCCCATTAAATATTTGGAGATTGGGAAAGTAGCCAGCAGGTAAGGTCCCAGTGAACTCTGTTAAACTGAAGTTCATTTAAATTTCATATTCCCTTTTCCCCAATATCTCATTGTAAATTCCCCCATTTTCATTGTAAAGGGCCCTGTATCTAACAATTCTAAAACTGAATATTCCCTTTTGCTAGGAGGGTGAGTTGCTCAAGTAAATGGCTGCAGTTCTCCCCAGAGAAAGATCAGTTAAAATTTCCCCATGGTGTCACAGCTTCTTCAGTGGGTTCTGGGCCTGAAACCCAGCTGAGGTCTGAAAATGAGGGCCATGACATTTACTGGAGCAACTTCCCTTAATTTCCCGACTTCTCCTTTTGGTACAAGCTGTGGTACCTTGTTGCCTCCCCATACATTTTAACCTGAGGATGCTGTATGCCATGGACCATTTTGAGAACTTTTTAGAATCACCTCTTCTCTCCTCCTCTGTCTGCATCCTGCTGGTCTCTGAGGGTTGAGAGCTGTGCTGGGCCGTGATTGTCCCAGGGCCCTATTTCCATCACTGTCAGTGAACCTTGTTGAGCCATGGTCTCCCTTACTGTCAGCTCTGGGCCAGAGCACCCTCATCGAACCTTTGAGTAGTGCTCTCTGCAGAGGACTGAGAGAAATCTGGGGTTAAAGTGTGGAGCAATATTTGCTCAGATGCCTACATTTTAAGTTCAGGGCTACTTGCTTAACGTTCTGCGAAGCTCGGCTAGCCTGATATTATGCTGGTCTCACTGACCCTCTCTGGCTTCCAACTGCAGGAGCTCCCCAGGGCCTCCTAAGCCTCTAACTGGATTACCAGCCTGCTTACAATGCAGCTTTACAAAGTCAATTTCTAGTCATTCATTACCAATATATAGAAATACGCTTTTTAGTTGTTTATTGATTTATACCCTTTTTACTTGTTAAATTAACTTGTTATTTTTACTAAACTTTTTTTTGTAATTTAACTATCATTAGTGCCACCAAATTTTATACTTAAAATGATAAATTATATATTTTATCATAATAAAAAAGTTGTTACTCCTCCAAATTTTACAAGACTTTCTGTAACCTCCAGATGTACAGTAACATTCCTGCTGCCCAAGCCACATCTGTGTCCCACAATAATTATTCATCTGCACATTTCACAATAAATTGGCTGGGGACAGGATATGAGGGGACAGGTATAGAAGTTATGTTGCTAATTTTTGTACAAACACTAGAATTTCCAATATGTTTTCGAGAAATATTTAATCTGACAAATAATGACAAGAAATTTCTTGGAAAATGGGATAAATTTTCTATTTAATAAGCAAAGAATTTTTGATATGAAGCACATTGGTGGCTAGAATGTGCTATAGAACGAAATTGAAGAAGCACGGACATTCCCTTTTGGTGAGATATTTGGCGCTATATGCCAAGGACATCAGGATACTTATTCTTGAAATTTGTTATAAAGAAACACTCAGAAGCATATAAAGGCTTCTGCACACGGAGTTTTACACATACCAGATCTACTTATAAGCACAGAAACAATAATGTGGGACGGTTAATGTAACAAACAATGGCGCAACATCATGTTTCCCAGGATTTATAATGACATGAAACAAGCTAAAAGTTAAAAAGCTGAGCAAAATGCCAGACTCTTTAATTTTTTATTTAAAATTTAAAATATGTATTTATATAATTTAGATGTCTTTATATATAACAGACCATAAAGAAATGCATTAACATTTAAATGGTTATTTTGTGTGTGGGTGGTAGAATTAGAAGTGATTTTTTTCTGCTGTATACTTTTTGTATTTTCTAACTCTTCTACAAGAAGTATATTTTAGTATTGAGAAAACAAATCTGAGGGAAATATGCTAAGAAAAGAATGAGCATTACTCTGTGTGTTGCTCTGTGAAATGGGCCGCTTGAGCAGAATGCAGTGGGGCAGGGCTGCAGAGATGAACACACCCTGCCTGTGCGGGCAGACGTCTCTGTGACGTTTCAGACAGGGCTGCAGAGAGGCTTGTGAGGCGCCAGCTCTTAGGTTCACTGCTAATTGTACAAAAACACTCGTTCCTTTTTAAGGTGGCGATTCGAACGACACTTTAAGCAAGAAGGCAAATTCTGTGAACGTTTCTGTCCAATTGAAGGCCGCAGAGAACAGGTTAGTGATGTTCCTTTAACAAACATGTTTTGATATTTACGAGGTGCTGACCCCTGAGATACTCACAGGATCTGTTGTCAGTAAGCATAACCCTAACCCTAATAACAAATTACTGTACACTTAATGTATTTTATTCCGACATAGAGTCCTCGGTATAGCTAATGTGAGGGCATCCAACTTTTATGCTGTTTTCAAGCAGAGGATATTACATGAATACATTTGTCCACCCTCTACGAATATTTGAGAAAGGAATAAAACAGATATAAATTTACTCCATGAATCTGCCATTGATAAGTGTGAAATATTTGACCATTTACTAATTGTCCCTGAGACTCTGTGTCCTGTTTGGTTATGAACGAAGCCTTCTTGCTGTAATTTTCCCCCTTCCTGTCACCCTGCCTTGGCATCAGCTATGCCTTTGTCATCCACCACATCCCTGCAGTTACTATGTGGTATTCTCTGCTCTTAGCATGCACTAGAAACTCCAGATAGAAGTATGTGAATATATTGTGTGTTAAAGGTTGTTGATAAATTTCAGTTCAGTGTTAACTCGATTAATAAATGCTGAACTATGCAAATGTCTTGAAGTCAGGCCCAAAGCCCTTGTTCATCCCCATGAGCAGCAGCCCTGTCACTGTGAAACTTGAGTTGCACCAACCAGGAGTGATCTGGGTTGATGGGGACTGGAAGAGATACCCAGAGCCACACTGCATAGCTCCAGCCAGGCCGAGCCAGGTCAGGCTCGACCAGGTCAGCCTCTAGGACGTGACTGAGAGAACACAGAGCAAATTACTATTCATTTACAGCCTGCTACATGCATTGAAGTTACCAGAACCTCTCCCAAATGACAAGCAAACTCTCAGCTAATAACTTCACCTAAAATAAAAGTGAAACGTATGTATGGATATTAAAATGTGTACATAAATTAGCTGTATGCTATACATCAAATAAAATTACATGTTAAATATATCTTAAGTAAAGCTATATTTAGAGATATATGTGCATATATTAAATGAAGGTATTTATAAAGTATATACTTTCATGTAATTGAACTATATTAAAGGTAAGTATTAAATAAAAATTGACTATAAATCTCTTATGCCTATACTTTAAAAATAGTAACTGTATAATTTAAATGACTTATCAAAGGGAAGATTATACATTAACTCTAAAACTTTGCTCTCAATGCTGAGATATATGTGCATATATTAAATGAAGGTATTTATAAAGTATATACTTTCATGTAATTGAACTATATTAAAGGTAAGTATTAAATAAAAATTGACTATAAATCTCTTATGCCTATACTTTAAAAATAGTAACTGTATAATTTAAATGACTTATCAAAGGGAAGATTATACATTAACTCTAAAACTTTGCTCTCAATGCTGAACTGTATTATAGCTTTTTGGGTTTTGGTTTTTGGTTTTGGGTTTTTTTTTTTTTTTTGGTTTTTGTTTGGGGTTTTT